CATATTCCCTCTGCCCTCGCTGTGCAGCTGAGTTCCGCGCTGCCCCTGCTTGTACGCACCAGAGCTGCCTGAGTTAATTAGCAGCATGTTTGACGCTCCATTTCAGTCCCAAAGGGCTGCGTGCAAGTGAAGTGAGGGCGCGTGCACGCTCACAACCAGCGAGCCCATTGTGAACATAAGTGCAGCCCACCTCTGCTGCAATCATTATAAATTCATGACAGTTGCCAAGCATCCAAATTTTGATCACTTGACCAATGGGATGCTGCAGCAATCATAAGTTTAAAAAATGGTCACAAGTCACTTTTTTCAGTGCTGGTCACTAAACAAATGACTGTAAGACGAGGCCCTTCTCTGGGTAGGTTTAGTTATGTTTTATATGTAACATACATAAAATCATTACAAGGAAGATGAAATAGATTGTCTTTGCAACCTTTTAGCTTAAACATTCACTTACAGTTTTCACTGAAGTTGATTAAGTGTGTTTGTGTATTTCTGTGTATATGTATGTATTAATAGTTGCTTATTTCCCTTTCTGGCAAGGTTTGTACTTTAACAAAAGAAGACAACCGTATAGTAGGTGTGATACCAAATGATGAGCAACTTCATGTATTGCCTCTTTACAAAATATCACAAACAGATGAATTTGGCACAGAAGAAGGGCTGGAAGCCAAGATTAAAACTGGGGCAATCCAGGTGCTAACTGCTTTCCCCCGTGAAGTGAGGATGTTAGCTGAGCCACGTAGGGCAACCAAGAAAAAACCAGATGCAAAAAAGCAAAGTTTAGCTGAAAAAAAGCATTCTGCTGCTGTAAGGGGAAAAAATGGATTGCCAGAAAATACTAAGAGAGCATCACAAAGTTCAGGTAGGTACAACAGAGCTTCAAATAATAGCTGATAGTGATAGATATGAGTATGTTATAGAACAGGGGTGTCAAACTTGATTTCGTTGAGGACCGCATCAGGGTTGTGTTTGACCTTGGGTGGGCCAGGGTGGACATGGCCAGCGAACGTCACTCATGTTGGGGCGCATGTGGTTGCCTGAGTGTTCTGCCAGTGAAAATGGGCTCCTAGGCTCTGTTTTCGGCTACGACTGTCTCCTGCAATCCTCTGCCAGTGAAAACGGAGCTCGGAGCACTGGCAGAGGCATCATGGGCCGGTCCTTCGCTGTTTGCAGGGCAGCCCTGTGGGTCAGATCTAAGCACCCCGGGGAGGGGGGCTGGATCTGGTCCCCGGCCTTGAGTTTGGCACCGTTATAGACATTCACATTTGTGTGTCTAAAATGCAAAGTATAAAAATTGAACAAAGTAAAATACTGAAAGCAAAAGCATTTCAGTACTATATATACACAGGTAGTCCTGGAAATATGACCACAATTGACCCCAAAAAGGCAATAGTTAAGTCAGTTTTGCCCCATTTTATGATCTTTTTTGCCACAGATGTGAAGCAAATCACTACATTTGTTAAGTGAATCGTGTCATTAAAGTGTGCAAGAGTGCTGTTATAACTTTGAACAGTCACCAACTGAACTGTTATTAAGTCGATGATTACCTGTACTTAGTTGAGGACTATCGGTATTATACCTAGTATAAAAGTATGTTTGATTTAAATACGTGGTGGCAAAGCCCTACAGCCAGGGGTGAGATTCTACCGGTTTGCTCCGACGAGCAAGTGGGCCCGCCCACCTGCCCCTGTGCTTTACTTACCTATATCTTCTCAGCTGAGTCACACAGCAGAGAGGATTACCACGCCTCAGTTGTTTTCCTCCACAGCAGTAATGCAGAAGGAAAAATGCATGAGCGAAGTAAGCGAGCAGGTGCATGAAGCCCGCAATCACCAAACCAGTTGTTAAACCCGTAGGATCTCACCTCTACCTACAGCTGATACCTCTGTACAATATGCAAGCTGTTGTTATTTAAGTTTTAAGCATCTTCATTTTCATGAAAAGAATTTCTAACTTGGAAAAAAATATAACTTGGAAATGTGAGGGAAAATGTGTTGCCAAACTGCAACATGTCTGCATTGAGGAGGAATTAAAATGAGTTTAAAATGGGTTTAATTAAAATGGATTAACGTGAATGTATTTATCAAACATCTGGGGGGGGAACCGAATTTTATATTTGAAACCAGTTTATTTATTTTTTTCTCCTTAGGGACCAAAATAAATATAGTGCAACCTGAGACAAAAATGGAGACAGCTGAATACTTTCCAAGCATAAAACCTAATTTAGGGATTGCTACCGATTGCTCCCCATTGAAGCAACGTTCTCCATCTTCTCCTTTAAAACTGGATAGTTTATCCTCTTGCTCTCCATTAAGTGGTAGTCTAATGCCAGTAACTAATAGCCAAGAAGATGTTTCTACTCCCTACGGGTATTTACAATGCAGTAGTAATAAACCTCACGTGACATCCAAAGGTAATAATAACTTTGACATGTCCACTCGTGATTATACTGGAATTGTGATGGATGAGAAGAGAAATGGTGTGCCTCTGCTTCTTCAAGACCTGACTATGTCCAGGTCACCAGACAACAGAGAGAATCTGCCCCTGACTGCTGAACACAAACTAGTTAACAAGCAAAATTGTGAAGTTAACTTAAAGTCCTCTTCTGTGTCCCAGGTAGCTAGCTCTTGTGAGTCAATGTTGCAACTGGGCACCCCAGAAGATGTCTCTAGCAATGGTTCTTCCCAAGAGCACCCCATGCAAAAGAGTGGATTACGGCAAAGCCCAAGTTGTGTAGAAAACGGATCCAGCGGCCAGCTCTTAAAGCACACAGATTCTGAAGAAAAAGCAGAAGAAATGTGGTCTGACAGCGAGCATAACTTTTTGGACAATGACATTGGTGGGGTAGCTGTAGCACCATCCCATGGTTCTATCTTAATTGAATGTGCACGGCGCGAACTTCATGCCACCACGCCTCTTAAAAAGCCCAACAGGAACCATCCCACACGGATCTCTCTAGTCTTTTACCAACACAAAAACTTAAATGAGCCAAAACATGGGATAGCCCTGTGGGAGGCCAAAATGGCAGAGAGAGCAAAAGAGAAGGAAGCTAGAAAATCAGGAACTGAAGCCACCGGTCTGCCAGCCACTGACAAGAATGCAAATCAGACCAATGCAACCCAAGAGATTTTCTACAAAGAAAATGAATTCAACCAAATTCCATCTCGCAGAGCATTAACAGTAACTCATGATAATATTCTAACGGTGTCTACTTATGCCCTCACACAAGTTGCAGGGCCCTACAACCATTGGGCATAAGCTCTTATAGCAACAACACAACTTTTGCCTTGGAGCAGTGTTACACAATCCTAAAGGTGCTGTTAAAGAACAAAGTCTCATATGGTTTACTCTTTGTTCATCTCAACCATTTTGAAGGCTGAGGTAAAAATTATTTTGTTTTTAAACTGTGACTTTATATATTTTAACATCTGGTGATTCTCAAGTGTGTGTGTATATATATATGTGTGTGTGTATGTGTGTGTGTGCATGTGTATTCACATGCATGCACGTGCACGCATGCACACATCTTTTAAGAAAATTTGGCTAGATTATTAACTGATTGAATTACTTGGTTTATTACCTTTTTGGAATTTATACTTTGGTGCTTTGAATCGTCTGTTTATTATAAATAGACTTTTCATAAAGATTTTAACTGATTTCATCTTTTATTATGTAAAATCAAGTTAGACAGTATTAGCTATACACAGCTCTTGGTGCTTAATCATATTGAACAGTTAAAAATAAGCTGATTTTATTTCTTCATGGTGCCATTGCTCTTACAGCTTCCAATCACTTGCTGTGAATCCCAGCTTAAGGAGAAAGAACCAATGATGATTTATTTGTATATAGATTTTTTTCATGTATGTATAGTTTGTGCATGTGTGTATGATCCACATGCATTCACATGCAAACAAATATCACTAGTAATGATTGGAGGTTATAAATGTAAATACATATAAATATATATATTTAAAAGCACTTTCTATTTTTAAAGTTAACTTGAAATAGTATAAGGATCACATTTGTCTAAGGTTTGTGCATTCTCTACCAAGGAATTTATTTTTTCTTACTATATAAAGTTCCATATTGCTACATCAATTCATAGATATTGAAAATACTTGGGTTTTAGAATCTTCCCTTCTCTTTTTTCCATTGCTTTTGTTTCTAAATAAAAAGGGTAATAAAGTCCAGAAAATTCATTATTTGCAAATATAAATTAAGTTGTTTATCTATACTTGTATTTCTAGGGTCTTTTTTTAAAAAAGAGTTTATAATTTGAGCAATAAGGGCAAATGTTATCTCATAGGGGGCATTCCAAGTTTTATGGGACAATACAATTGGGCCTCATCCAGGGATATCGTTCCATAGATCTTGAAGTTACCCAACTTGGAAAGATTTTTTTCTAGGGCCTCAATGCATAAATTGCAATGCCTTGTTAACATGTTGGATTTTAAGAGCTCTGCCCTATCAGCAGTGTAGGATACATCTGAATTTATTATGCATCCAAAATGTTCTTGAGTAGGGAGCTGCCCATCAACCTGGTTTAGGCAGGTTTACTTGAAGCTCAATCCCATTGTGTTCAGTGGGCTTTCTGCCAGGTAAATAAACATCTGATTATTATAATCAGTTTTCTCCTCTCCTTCACCGCTGAATAAGACATACTGAGATATCCAAGTGATCAATTCCACAAAACATGCATAGTTCCCCATCCCACTTGATATCTCCAGCCAGGAAATAAGGTCTGTAATGGGTAGCGGTCTGTGTTGGAGACCCATCCAGAATATAGTGTCTGACTTCTTGGTGGCAAAATAACCATGTAACAACACGCCATTTCCTCTTTGCATCACACTCTTTTCTGAATGGTAACCCATGCAGCATTACAGGCTCAGAGAGTTTGCCATTTTTTTCCAACCTGGGAACACTATTCAATGTTCCAGCTTGCACTTCATGTACCAGAGTTTGTTAGTTGAACTACTAAGTGCAAAGGCTGGATTGATCAAATCAACTTTGTGTTTCAGTCAAGAACCAGGGAAGGCAACTGCCAAGGTATAGTAAGTCTAAATGGGGATTTGACTAAAGGGATTGAGTTGTGCAAGGCAGAGTTCCATTTTGTAGACAGAACGTAACTAGATTGAAATTCCCAGTTCAATGCTAGAGACAGAATGATGTCTTCCAGCAGACCTGAAAACTGCCAACTAGCTGAACAGATATAACCACGGCTGGGTTTTCCCCAACATCTTGCTACCGCTTCTCATTTCTTAGCACCTTTCATTTGGAATGGCCACATCCTTTGTTAATGGAAGCAGCATTAAATGATCCAATATCATAGAGCTTTTAATATTAAATCCCAAAAATCTCAAATGTGATACAACAGCATATGTGAGGTGTAAATTACTTTTCTCAGTTTCGATGAGAAGCAGAACAATTAAAATACAGCTCAGGACTTCTGGCAACTAGAATCAGGAGAATTTGGTATATTTGGAATGAAAAAAAAGGAAGAAGAAATTACCATAAGTAACAAGATTATAATTTTAGACAACTGGATGCCAGGGATTTTATCAGTCTTAATTAATTCTATGCCATGGTCTGAATTACATAACATTATTGAAGCTAAACCAGTGAGTTTGACCAATCCCAATTTGAGTAGGGCTGAGTGTGGATGTGAACCAGACCTTGATTCCAAATAATAAATTAATTAAATCACCTAGCATCCATTTGTCCTAATGACAGCATCTTAATTTTAAACATTATGAGACTATCTCAGGCTTTTCTTTTTTTGTGGTGATTTGAATTGGCCAGTTGCTATCATATTATGAGCCTTTGTGAGTAAACACACCCTTTAGTTTATACACAAGAATGAAGCTATTTACTAATAATCCAATTTAATCAGGGCAGTCATATGAGGTTAACTCTTGATTTTACATCCCTCTCTCCTATTCCTGCTCCATGATGTACATAAGTGCCACCAGAATAACCAGAAATAAAATATTTGTGATAACATACTTGATAATATCTTATAGTGGTGCTGTAACAAATTTCTAGATCTGCTTTTTAATAAAATCTAGACATGCTGCTTTTATTATTAGATGTCTACCCTTCTGTGTTTAATCTGAAAATATAATTCAGGAAAATGAAAAAATAGTTGATTTATATAGTTTGTCCCAGCTTTCTCCAAAGAATTTGCTGAATGGCGATCTATTGGAGTGGAAGTAAAAAATATATTAAAGGCATTAGGTTGGGGAAAATTTGTTTATTCTTTGTCACCTCTGATTCTGAAGTTCAGAATGTGGAATTTATTCCAGTTACTCACATAGTCCATTTGTGTAATACTAGACATCCACACTGGTCAAAGGCTTCAAGACATCCATCATCCACAACACTCACATGGTAGTAGATCTTCTCAACTTCATCCATGCAAACAAGCATATTACATATAACATTTTTATCTAGCAGAACAAATACATTTTAGGCAAAGTGAAGACAAAACAGCATGTTTGAATGCTGCTTGATGTCTGTCCCTTCTCCATCTCTCATTTAATAGGTGATTAATGCCATTATTGGTGATGCTGATCATGTTAAATGATATGTATGTATGTCAGGCAAGACTGGTGCTAGATATCTTCATGTTTCCTGATGCATTTCCACTTTTGACAGCTGAATACATACACAGACAAATTTCATCTTGCAGACACTGTAGATATTAGAGAAATTTTCCTAAGTTACTGAGTATTAAGATGTAGAGATGTTCTACTAAAATCAGGAGTGTGCAATCCAGCCAATTTCACTGACTTTGGTGAGGGCTGAGAAAGTTCAACCTGTTATGATTTATAATTGTACAAAGCGGTACCCTCCGATTATCATCAAACATGGATTTCAAACTTAATTTTAGATCAGATCTTCATACTTAGTCACAATATCACTAGCAATCTTTATGCAACAGCTTATTGAACAACTGGAGTCATAACATTTTAGAAAAGTATATAAAGAGAAAAACAACCCAATCTTTATATTTTTTAAAACAAACTTTGTAAAAAAAAACAAAACCCATATGCTGCATTTTTCTTAGTTCAAAGATTATGATTAGTTCAAATAGAGACTATGTAACAATTGTAAATAATAAAAGTCAATATTATATCATTTTCTACCAGCAGTTTACTGCTTCTTGGATATATACATTAATTGGTATGGTAATTTTGTGTGCCTTAGCTTTACATTTTAAGAATTGCATATTTTTTGTGAACCTGAAATTTATTAAACATAATAGCTGTCATTACAATACGTAGGGTGAAATCATCCAGCAACTCATCTGTATGGTTTTTTCTAATTTAATCATGCTTTCTAGTAATTCTGAGGGGGGGATCCTGGGGATAATATTTCACAGTGTATGTGGAAAACATCTACACTTCATCCTAGTTTTGCTCAACCCGTCTTGTCAGTTATAATTTCTAGTATGCTTTTTAGTTTGCCAATCTGTTTATGCTTATAATAAGTCCCATTGAACATAATGTGTCGATTTCTAAATGAATGTATGTAGGACGGTATTGTTACCACTTGACATTTATGGGGATACACTACTAATAAACTGTTTAGGATTAAATTCCTTTTGATTCCTTTTATATAAATATTACAGCAGAAAATTCAGATTGTGGCAATAGTGGAAAAATAACTGACTCAAATTATGAAGATTTGGCATTTCTAAATAGATCTCAAATTACTGTGCTTGAGTAGTTTAGTGTTTTCCCCTATAAACCTATAGAAAATATACTGCTATATTTGCTAGCAGATATCAGCTCTTAAACAACAATGCTCAATAGGGAAACCACATGTCCACCTAATCAGACAGCAAGGAATAAAATCTATTACTTGGAAGTCCACTGATGAGGTTCCATAGGGCAGTGTTGGCGAACTTTTCAACACTGAGTGCTGAAACAGGAGCATGCGCACAGGTGAACACCAGAAACCGGAAGAGCAGCTCCCTGGCAGCACCAGAAATTGGAAGAGCAGCTGGGCTTCCAGTTCCTGGCGTGTGCATGCACATGTTGCAGTTTTTGGCGCTCCTGCGCATGCAAAACCAGCTGGCTGGTGTACATGTGCATGCCAGAACCCAGAAAAGCAGCTGGCAATGGCTGGCATGCCAGGAGAGATGGCTCTGCATGCCACTTCCGGCATACATGCCATAGGTTCGCCATCACGGCCATAGGGCATATTTGCATAGAATGAATTAAAGGTGGAAACACATGATTGTTTTTAGCAGCTAATAAATGTTTCATTAGATAAATCAGATTACCCAAACATAGAAAACATACTGCTGAAATTAAGAAATATTGTTAAAGTTTTGTCTGGGTTCAGCCATCTATTTTAATTATCATAAATTTGTAAAAACAATACAGCTTTACAAAATGGTGGTTGCATCTGAAAAGTAATGTTTCTCATTGTATTATCTCACTGAAATTGC